ATATATTATTATGCCGTGTGTGTGCATGTATACATGTATATATATATATATATATATATATATATATATATATATATATATATATATATATATATATATATATATACCAAAATAATGTGCGTACGTATCCAGATGCGTATATAGTATATGTAACTGTTTCCAATAAACACTTATTGTAGCGACCGTGTCAGTGGCATAAGCAGATCTCGACCATATTACCAATTAACAACTTCGTTTGCAGAGAATATAGCATCTCTTACCTACAACATGGCCCAACAATGCGCGTAGGACGGATTAGTCAGACATGTCGGTACACAACACCTAGTGAGTGCAATGGTTTAAATGGACCTGCCCAACTATCCAATGCTGATACCCCATTACAAACTGAATCATTTTATATCCTCGGTAGCATACTACTCATATGTTCGCATGCACAAAGTATCTACTATGTGCACGGAGTACGACGAATGCCCGCACCAGCACAAACACACCTGCACACAGCGATCTGGCCATACTACACCCACATATACACAAACATACATATATATTCACACACAGCAATTAAACATAAGAACATACCAGACAATCCCATATGCGCCTTGGCCTATAGGCTTTATAAGCGAATACTGCTCCGGCACATCGAACTTAGACCCTCCGACAGAGTATGAGTTGTATCCTGGCCTAGTTGCCGGTTCTCTGGCTATTTCCATTGTGTGCATTTTGATGAAATTTCTGTATTTCTGTACTCTATTATTTAGAGTTCTAATGCGGTGTTTGCGATGGTTATCATTTATGTATGTATGTGTAAATGTGTAAATGTATATGTTTGAACATACATATACGTGTGTATATGTGTATAGAGATGTTAGCTGTGTTCCTATTTACATTATAGCTGTGTTCCTACATTAAAAACACAAACGTCGTCTTAATTACTCTATTTTACCACCTATAATAAATAATAGAGTACATAAATACATAAATTTCATCAATATGAACGGACCCGGACACCTATCAACGTATATTCTTCACACAAGAAATATGTTTACGCTAAACGTTATAATATGACGGCCCTAAAGTCGTCGCTCCGGGTGCATGTTCTGAGCCCTTGAGAATTGTTTCCAGTAGACAGTAGTAGTAGTCTCTAGTAATAGTAGTAGAGGGTGAATTCCATGTATTATGTCCCATATTATACTTCGTTGCTATGTACTACTAGTCTACTACATAGCTAAATAATACTCTCTACTAGTAGAGTAGAGAGAGATTGTGTCATGATTTTAGGTCGTACTTTTCCGGTATATTGACCCCGGAATAAACGTTTTTAATATTAAAAAAAACAACGTATTAGGTTAACTCTAGAGTTGGGACAGACAAGACGTCGAATACTTTTTGTTTTTCTGTTTTTTTGTTTATATATTTTTATATTTTTATATTTTTATATTTTTATATTTTTATTATATATATAAAAAACTATGAACAAAAACAACAATCGTGTATGATATCATCAATATAGAACTCATATTCCGATTCGGCTACTTAGAAGTTCGTTATTCATATAACCCAACCACTTGAATTTCATTGGTTTATTTTGTTCAACTACCCTTTTGGTTGGAGAATGAGTACAAGTATGCTGTGACATCACACAACTATGTACAAGTATAAAGTAAAACTGTAATCAAATTAAAAAAAAAGTGAAATCTGTACCCCATATCTGTGACTCATCACTGATCACTCTGGGGAATTTTTTGGTACTGTAGTAGTCTGTACTCTGTACTGAAGTCTACATAAAATACTCGGTACTTTTTTTAATATTTTAAATTATTATAGATACTTACTGCCGAGTGCCGGCTGCCCCGAATAGCTTGCATTTACTGAAACATAAATAAAAATACTTGCGCTGCCATGCAGTAAACGTTGAACGTAAATACAGAAATAATTGAATAATATACGTTTTACCGTAAAAAAGACGTACTTCTCGAGAAATACATAATTCAACAGTATAAACGTTAAACCTTTATCTCATGTAGAGCCAAAGGCCGAAGCCCGAAGGGGTTGAAAAGTTGCGGGGGGAAGATCTTGGGTTGATCTCTCTTGATAACAAGAATGCACGTAAATATATTTTTATTATATATATAATATAATTATATATATTATAAATATATGATATATACATTATAAATATATATATATATATATG